CTGCCTCAAAATCGTCTAATCTTGTCCGCTTAACTAATTCCTTTGTCAAGTTATTAACAAAAGGGATTTCCAGAGTTTCTCTAGATTTCTACAATGGTAACTGAACACATGGGGACTGAACAACCTAACGAACAGCCTAAGCCTGGCGTAGACTATTCTGACTACTACAAGTATCTGATGGAAAATCCTTGGATTCAGCAGGTATATCGGTGTTTTTGCTTTTTTTGTATGCTTACCTCTTGAAATGCAAAAATACGCTTTTTTTCGTCAAGGTAGAGTAAGTGAAGTTGCAATACGTTTGACATCGAGCGTGCGGTCGCGAAGCGGCAACCGCGTAGTTTTTTCGCGCATTCGCTACCCTGGTGGCCTGGTTATTTAACTCGAAGTAAATAGAATCCTTATTTGTTGGTGCTATACAGCTTCTCTGTTTTTTGTAGTGCAGTGGAATCCGCAATACGTTGACATCGAGCGTGCGGTCGCGAAGCAGCGAATTTAGCGTACTTTTGCTCTCTCTTTAGTGCGCCGCACTAAGACGCTGCGGAATACGTTGCCATCGAGCGCGCGGTCGCGAAGCGGCAACTTAGTATAGTTTTGCCTTCGCTATCGCTAGCTTTTGGCCGAACTAAACCCTTGACAAATTTGACTTATTTTGTCCTTGTACAATATGAGTTGGTAATGTTCACTCCCAGTAACCTTTAGGTTACTCTACTAACCGCTCTGCGACCGCACTCGCTATCGCCCTACATTGAGACCGATGCGCTCTTACGCCTTGATCCGGAGAGATGAACAGGGCCCTACGCTACGCCTTGAGTTAGAGCGCGTTCAACAAAACTTTTGCGATCGGCGATGTGATCGCTCGAAACGCGCTCTTCTTGTCGCAATTTACGCATAGGAAGCGTAGCGCAAAGCCCCACATGATCTATTTGGGCATGTTTGCAAATGGGCACTCGAAAATGGAAAGCTAACGTTCAAAAAAGTCGAGGTAAACTCGAGGTCGAGGTCTGCCCATAGCGCCGCGACGTGTACACACGAGCCGCGACGCGCACGCCCGCAACTGTTCTTGTTATTCTCGGTTCTCTTCACTTGATGGTTGTAGAGTTTGCAGTAGGAATGCAGCACGGTAACAGATTCTTTTTTTAGGCGATTGCAACATACGACTGGACGAAACACAGCTCAAAATTGCTGGAATCTACACTGGATCGTGTAGAGTCAAGTGTACAGGCGGCAGCGCAAACTGCCACGCAAAAAGCATACGACGCTCATCAGAACTACTATGTTCGTATCAACGACAGCGTCACAAATGCCTATAATTCAGGTAAGAATATTTCTCAGCCAGAAAGCGTAGTTGGTGGAGAGGGGGGGACCGGCGGGCGTTGGGTTGCTGCTAGGCCACGTACAATTCTATGCTTGTGACGCTCTCACTGGCCAACGCGAGTTAAACTCACTAGGACCCGATCTAATCGTGAGCGATGCCGGAGAAGACAGAAGAATAGGTGTGGCCAAGGAGTCCTCTTTGCTGGCTAACTCCCCTATTCCCCCCCCTCCCCCTTCCCAGCTACTATAGCCCCTTTTTTCGTTTATGCTGTGTAACCAGTGTTAGCGTTTTGTAGTGGGAGGTTGTTTTCAAGGGCTGTATGATGAGAATTACGATAAGGGAACACTACTCACTATAAGAAGTACTAAGCGAGGGGGGGGGTACTGCCAGTATTCAGGTTTTTATCGACCGCTCGCTTTTCTACTTAACTTTGTCGCTCTGCGTCCCTCGCACTCTCGCTCTCTGCGTCTCACGGAGCATATATAGACTTGAAGAAAAGTTTCTTGATAGTTATAAGTGCTGCACAATGCGCCTTTGGTAGGCAGCGTTCAGACTTCGCGATCGCGCAGCCCCGCGCCGCGATCGAATGCGCCGCCTAGCGACGCGATCACGAAGTCTGAACGCTGCCGTAGTAATAATATTAGTTGCATAGCTGCAAACAGGTGTTACCCAAGCTGATTTATGTCATGTTTTACAGGGATGGAAAAGACCATGTCAGCAGTGGAAACATCGAAGAATGTGGCAGTTCAAGGAGGTACATTTGGTATTGGAGCGGCAGTGGTTGCTACACAGGTAACAATATTGCTGCATATTGTGCTAGTACTGATACTGGTCTTGTACCTCACTACTGAGGTATTGGTGCAGTTGGGCTGGGGTCAAGTCGTGGTAGGGGGAGTGCGATGGTTTATTTTATCGCGCTCGGCGCAATTGTTTCGGGGCCAGATACGATCCGTCCAACAAATAAGGATCTCTTCCTTCTCGGCGTCCAAGTACGACGTCGCTGATGGGACTCTACAGCGAGTCAGTACCTTGTGTGGAGCGACGACAGTAGGGACAGTCGGCTACAGCTTTGGGGCACGCCCGTATTCCGTGCTCGTCTACGCTCTCTCAACGAGATGATGATCAGCGGGTCTGACTCACGCTTGTGAGGGCGCAGACGAGCAGGGGATGTGGCTAACCTACATTTTTTTGGTTGTTTCCAATGAGAGAGCACATCAGTCG